CCACACATTCTCCTTGATAATCCATCTGGCATTCCAAAGCTTTTAGCATGTTTATGAACTAAATCAAATGAAAATAATTGGATGAAAGCTACCCATCTTGTCATAGCAGCATTAGGTAAACTTGGCGTGTTAATAATCTGAATTAAAGCCTTTGCATCCACTTGTAATTCAAAATGTTGACCCCATAACTTTGTTCTGAACTTCTTAAGAATCTTTGCCACGCCACATAACTCTAATTTGGGTTGAGAATACCTTGATTCCACCTCAGTAAATACTTCTGATTCATAGAATACTGGCCTGATTTCACCATTTACATCTGCTTGCATTAATACTCCTCCAGCTGATATATGACTGGAATCCACGGCTAGAATAATTGGACTTGCTTCTTCATTATAATCCAATGCTGATAATATTATATCTTCCCCAACAATCTTCTTCAATAAATTAAAAGCATCCTCACACTCTTGACTCCATATAAATTCCACTTTTAATCTTGTAAGCCTTCTTAAAGGTGCTGCCAAATGACCAAAATTAGGAATAAACATTCTTACATATATACACGTGCCCAAAAATCCTAATACTTGAGTTTTATTTGTTGGAGTTGGCCAACTTTGAATCTTATTCTTCTTTTTAATTGATATACTCCTTCCTTTCTTGCTTACAATATGTCCAACAATTTCCAAAGCAGGTACACACACAGCAAACTTCTTTCCAGACACAGTAAGTCCTGCTTCTTCAATCCTGAACAACATTCTTTCTAAAACCACGGCATATTCCCAAATAAATTTTCTTATACCATTATTTTCTTTTAATACTTCATTATTATAATCTGATTCTGGTCCCTTCACGCCTCCATCATCAATAAATATTCCTACATGTTGAGGAATTTCATCTTGCAATATCCACATCATCTGAGCTTGATATACAGCTACTGAATTAGTTGCTCCTTGAGGTAATCTAGTTAATTGTAATCTTCCCAAAGGGGTTTCAAAAGTTGTTAAAGGACGTGAAAATGCTGCTAATTCCCTCTCATCATAACCTCCCATAATATCACCAAGTCCATAACAAGCTCTTCCAGCAAAGGATTCCACGAAATCTTCAGGAGCAGGTGGTACTCCAGAGTCCTTAATTGTTACTCTATTTAATACTTGTAGATCATGTACTACCCTTAATTTTCCATCACCTTTAAGTACACAAAATACAGGACTAGTATAACTTGACGTGGATTGTTCATAAAGACCTGTTCTTATTCTTTGTCTAACTAATTCAATGAAATCATTCCTTATTGCTACAGGTATAGGAATAGGTCTTATTTGCCAAGGCTCATGTTCCACCACGGGTATTGCATAAGGTTGTCCATATGAATGCTTTAACAAACCTCTTTCTTCTTCACAATAAGCTATTGCTGCCTCCCTTAATACTAATATCAATAAGAATAATTTCCATTCCTCCTCACTTAACCATTCTGCAGGACCAAAGTTACATTGCTTAAGTCTTTCCACCGTGGTTTTCTTAGTTTCTTTGAAGACTGGAGGATTTTTAATTAAAGGAGTAATATAAGGATCCCTTGATAAAGGTGGTCTTTGTAAAGGAAGATTTAAATACTGTGGCATTGGCGCATTAACAGGTTTAACCTTCTTGTCCACAGTCTTATATTTAGTACTGTAACTCCTTAAATCCTTGAGTTCACGCCCTCTTCCAAATATTTCTTGATCCTCCAAACACATAATTAAGCTTAATTCATTTATTAAATCATAATCCACACTTTCTTTCTCAAATTGCAATCCAAATACTTCTTCTTGATCATCTTCATCTTCAACTATATCATAATCAACACCCAAGCATAAATCATGTGCTGCATAACCTTGCCTTTCTTCAATTTCCACATTTAATTCCCTTTCCCAATTTCCCTTATCAGGTTCACATAACCTTACCTTCATCCATACTCCTCTATTATCTTTTAATGTCATCATTTCCCCTAAATCTTTCTTGAAATCCAATTGAACAGCATAATCAAATAAGAAAGATCTTCCCAATATTATTGGAGTTTGACTCTCCTCAGTTACGTAAAATTGAACCAATCCTTCAATATTTCTCCCAATCTTAACTTTAACTTTCTCAGCAATTCCACATAAAACAGTCTTCTGTCCACCAATTCCTCTTACTGCTCCTTTAATATTAACCACAGTTTGAACAGGTAATAATTGCATAAACTTCTGAGGAATTATACTAATTTGAGATCCTGAATCAACCAATGCTTTCAATTTAATTTTACCAATTGTAATAGTAACATATCCCAAAGGCGTGGAATATAAAGGTGACTGAGGTAAATTAACTTCCATAGATGAATTACTTTCAGAATCAAATTCAAAGTCAGACAAAGCTGTACTGTTAACTGCTGAAGCCATTGTTTCTTGATTCATATTTAATCTTCTCTTTGAAACCCACTTCTTAACTTCTTCAGATACCACAGGAGAAATGGCGCATAATTCTTTAACTTGAATATCAACAACACTCTTCATTAATTTCTGAACCACGTCTGTTACAACCCTTGGATTTTCTGCAAAGACTGGCCTTTCTAATTTATTCTTCTGTTCCCCGTGTCCTGGCATTATATAAGAAGGTCTGATTGTTTTATTTGAACCTTCCTTAATGTTTCTATTATCATCATCAGCGTGAATCCTTCTCAAACTCTCCTCCATTTCATTTATTCCAGCTTCTTCAATATTATTTTCTATATCTAAATCCATACCATCATCAATATCCTCAGCTTCTTCATTAATAGTAACCTTCTTCTTCTTCTTAGGTTCAGCTTGAGTTACAGTCTTTCCACTACGTGTATTTGCTGTAATATCATAAATTTTAGTTCCACCTCCTCCCAATAATTCATTCCCATGACTTCTTAATATTTCAGGCATCCTCCAATCCCCTTCAAGAATACCACAACTTGTTTTAAGCTCTTGAATTTTATCCTTCCCGTCATTTTTTGTAATAATAGCTGTAGGAGTTACAGGTGGTACTACAGGTGTATTAACATGTACAGCTGGAGTTGTTACACGTTGTTGTTGTATATTTTGACGTGTAGCATCATTGGCTTGCTGTTCAGAATATCTGATAACTTGCTGCCTAATTCCATCTTCCCCTTGCTTAAACATTCTTACATTTCCTGAAGGTAAAAAGAAACCATCCATCCTATCTTGCAATAATCCAGCTTGTTTATCTTGAATTACCCATCTAAATCTTCCTACAGTATGTCCTTCAGTATTACAATACACGCAAAAGACAGTATTCCCTTGATTACCATTTACTGGACACCTGTGGCACCTGTATAAATTGACTTACAAGTCGATCATAAAGTGTACTTTATGGTCGACTGGTCGACTTGGAAGCCAATCATTTGCACCAGAGCCACTCAGATGCGCTGGCGCACCGTTTGACTACTGCACAAGTCCCCATCAAGTCCATTCCAAGAACTTTTTTGGATTTGATAACCTTAAAAAACACATTTTAAACAACTTTCAACCACCTGAAGTTTTTTTTTCAACTTCACATTTCAGACTCAAGTACCCAGAGCGGTCTGAGTACTCAGACCGCTCTGAAAGGCAGTCAGACCGCTCTGAATGGTACTCAGACCGCTCTGATCAGTACTCAGACCGCTCTGATCGGTACCCAGAACACTCTGACCAGTAATCAGACCACTCTGATCAGTACCCAGAACGCTCTGACTAGTACTCTAGCTTCCAGAGTCAGACCACCAGACTCGTTTCCCCCCATACCCCACCTCAAGACCGCTCTCAGCTGAATACTACTCGGACGGCTTGATTGATTCCACCTTCCTGCATCTCCTCTTTGTACAACAATGTTTAACAACGTTTAAGCATCCTCGGCTAAAACTGACACATCATCATACCCAGTCTACACATTGTACTCGTCTTTATTTACTCATCATACTATAAATTGCATTCATCAATTTGTTTTCTCAAACATTGCCCTGGGTCATTAGGCCATCAATTTTTTTACTTTTTATCTCCGGTATCACATCGTGAGTCACCGATCTTGTGTTATCTTATCACATTGGGTTACTTTGCACATACAAGAAAGAATAGACAAATAGAAAAAGACAAAACCAAACAATTGAACAAAGATCGAACAATCTGAAGCGATCTACACTTAGTGGGAGAAACACTAGGAGTCGCTATTGTATTTGAAGGGTGTAGAAGGAGAAAGATCAAAAAACAAAAACAAACAAAGATAGATAAGGAAAAGGATCAAAGAAAGAACAAAGGATTGATTAAAGAGTGAGCAATCCAAACCAAGATAGACTTAGCAGAAGAAACGGTAATAGTTTAAGAAGGAGAAATCTTAAAAAAATAAAAACCAAAAAACAAACAAGATCGATTAAAGAGTGAGCGATCTGAGTTGGCTAGACTAGACTTAGCCTAGCCAAAAAAAGGGACTAAAATCAATCACAAGGGGGGCAAGGACCATCAAAGAGGGAGACATCCATTTGAACTTTCAACAGTAGCCATCGGGGTACCATCAATACCATCATCGGTTGCATCATTATCAAGCTGTTGACGTTTAGCATCCAAAATGTGATCAGAATGGGGTTCACCTTCAGAATCATCGTTATCATCAATAGGTTGCTTTCGTTTTAGGGTTCGTCGTGAAGATTGAATCGAGTCCTCTTCAGATTGCTCCTCGTCTTTGGTGACACGAGCTAAAGTTTTCTTCTTCGCTTCAGAGTGACAGGTTGCTTTTGATTGGCGTGCCAGTTTGTTCGTTTTTGGTTGGCAAGAACCTTCTTCATCGTTAGAAGTATCACAAGACCCGGACTGGTCATCAGAAATAGTAATATGTTTAGATCTTTTTCTTTTAGTTTGTTTTGATGCCTGTCCATCCAATGTTTCAGATGTGTTGTCTGCCTGATTGTTTTGGTGAATAGAAGCAGGTCGAGTCTTATCACAAGATTGTTTCTTGCGTTGAACTTGTGTCTGAGTAGGTTCGCCTTCGTCTTCGGTTGAGGAGAGGCTAGTTCGTTTCTGAGATTTAGCTTTTGACCTTTTTGATCGTTTCTTTGGTGCTTGTATAACTCGGAAATCTGGATTTCTCTCGACAGTGAATTTTCCGCTCTCGATATCCGCCAGCCACAACTTCACCACAGCATCCTTAGCCAAGCGATGACCATCCATTAGCATCTCTTTTGACAAAAGGCTACCTTCCTTCTGGACAATACGAATTGCTAAACCCCGACTCTCCATCTCAGCTTGAGGGTCCTCGGTTTTGGGAAAGATTGCCCCATGCTCTATCGCATCTGTAATTGAAGTAATCAAGATTGGTGACGCACATCTCAAATTGATGTGCAAAACGTCAATTACTTACCGACTAGATCATTCAACAGGTGACCAAGGCGGGTTCTTCTTTCGTCACTCGGTTGCTGCGTCTTTGCACCCTCAATTTCGTTCTCCGCTGCCTTTCCGTGAATGTAAGCCGCAAACTTTTCCGGCACTTTCGCATCCTTTTTTGCCCATTGCGCAAAAGATACATTATTTTAAAATACTTGGGTCCACCCCTCAGTGCTTCCACAGCTGACCGCGGTGAGGTAATAAGTAATTTGATAACGCTGACAAACAACAGAAAACTGGCATGGGCAAATTTAGTATTGATATAAGAACAGTTGTTTATAAAACAGAGCTACTCACATCATGATGTGCTTTACGTAACTCTGCTAGTGACTTCTTCTGAATAGTTTGTACAGAAGAAGAACGTTCAGGTTTGCCATAGCACGAATGTACCTTTGCAAGGTCAACAAGTTTTGTGAAGAGTGGCTGATATTTGGACTGATCAGCATCGCTAAGTCGATGAACTTTTGGAGCTGGAGTTGATGCTTCAAGGTGTTGCATCGAGAGCTCGTCATCTAGGTCAACAGAATCGTCGTAGAGTGATTGGGAGAGATCGGGAAGTTTGGCTAGTGCAAAGAAAAACGGGTCTCAAAAGATTGTCTTCTCGTCTTCACTGAGTTTCCTCCATTGATCAGCGACCTTCTGATTTCGAGTGGTCCAACCGTCTTTATCACCTCGAGCTGGCACTGTAACATAGTCAAAAAGGGAAATAAATATCAGCGAAAGAATTAGAAAGGCATAAAACGAACTGTACATACACTTTTCGTCCAAAGCAAGATGACAGAAACATAGATACCGTATCCAAGGGTTGATGTTACCCTTTTTGCCACCTTCGCCTCTAAGATGCATGAGTGAGTCTTGTTAGTAATGCATTCAAAGTTGTTTTGAAGATGAAGAGAAAGTCCTGACACGATGTTCCAAACCACCGCTTCGGGGATTGCTCCCATTAATGCCGCCATTAACATGCGTTTTTCATATTCTAACCTGATACTCTTCACTAATGCCCTGATGTTGGAATGAGGTCGACTCGTAGTAGACCCCTGTTTAGCTATGGCCTCTCGAAGTCCTACCGTGGTCCATTCATCAATATGATCTTCAAAAGTATCTAATTCCAAACCAGGGAAGCGGGACCGAAAAATCTGCTTGTCTTTGGTCACGGACTTGGGGTCAGTGCTAGTGATGTGCTCAGCAGGACCTTGGTTTGAACGATTGGTGGTGTTGGTGGCGTGGCGGGTAATTGGAGGTGGTAACTCATACTCGCGGTCACTGTGGTCAGCTGAACCCACTTTGTTCGATTCATCCTGGTTGGCTTGAGAATCACCGTCATCATCTGAAATAACATGATTGTTCTTCTTATTTTTTTTGCTTGATTTAGTTTGACGTTGAATGGGAACAGCCGAAGCCTTAGAAGCCTTAGAAGCCCGAGTGGAACGGCCATTGCTTTTCTTGGAACGTGTGCTTGTCGCCATTGTGTAACTAAGAATCAAGGACATAGTAAAAGGTACATCAAGACGTATTAGGCTTTCTACGTATGTTGGACAAGTTTTCTAGAAAAACTGAGACATACCTTCAAGATTTTGTTGCCTGCAATTGAAAGTAGTGATGTGTAGTAACCGGATGGAGGTTTCGAGAGATTGATGGTTCAGTGTTGAAGCCTGGCTGAGAGACACCAAAAGTCAAACATCTGATTTGAAATGATGATGACGCGGCCCGCAGAGCCACGGACCCGTGCAAGTGCAGCCCTGGCTGCACTTGCACGCTATTGGGCTATGTATGGTATTTGTTACCTTTTTGAGTGGACTTGTGGCTCGAGTGAAAAAATATCATCATTTGAGTTAATGCTCAAGCTATCAAATAATCATATTATTTGAGTCACTCTTGCTGTAATGGCCATGTGTGCAGGCTCAAGGTGGTCCATATACACTTTATGGACCACCTTGAGAAAGTTGATCACACCTTCCAATGTACTTGGGAGGTACATTGCTCCAATAAAATATTCTACAGTTTGAGATAAATCCCAATAGTTGAAGTTGGATTATATTTTTGGACTTAAGAGCTTTTGCATTCTAGACATTGAGATGTCAAGAATATAAGGGCGTCTGGCCTATCTGTTGGTCACATAGTACTATTTGTTGATTGTTTGGCAACACTAGCCACAAGGAAAAAAACGGTTTGGCTTCAAACTGAAAAGTTGCACTAAATATTGTTGGAGTGTGTGGCATATATATATATATATCATCCACGCATAAATCAATGTGTTATAGACCACTTATGGCCTATTACCGTGCTTGTGTTTCTCCAAATGACATGTTTGCGGAAACACATGCCACAGGTAAATATTTGTCAGTTTTGCTCCAAACACAAAAGTTGAACTTGGCAAATATTTTTTGAGTGTTTGGCTTTTATATTTACTTCACTAGATAACCAACACGCCCTCACATGGACCACTTATGGCCTATTGAATGGGCTGGCGGAACCCCAAATGACATGTTTTGGAATCACATGCCACAAGTCAAACTATTTCAGTTTTGCTTCAAACTGAAAAGTTGCACTTGGAAAATATTGTTTCAATGTGTGGCTTTTATATATATAACAGCTATTAGTCAAATCAACAGCAAGGCCACTTATGGTCTTCTTACAAGTGGCCTTGCGGAACCCCAAATGACATTTGGGCGGAAACACACTATAGGGAAAACTTTTTTGTTTGTTGAGTCAAACCAAAAAGAAAAAAGTTCCTTTATCATTTTATATCAAACTTTGAAATACACCAAAAATCTCAACTTTTTTTTTGGTCACCTCACCCAAATTGAAGCAACCTTATTAGCAGGTATATCAAAGATAAGCAGTAAACACTCTTCACTGTTCAGACCAGCAAAACATTTATGTATCTCACAAGTGTGTGAACATATTTCTATGTTCACACACTTTGGGGGTATTAGGTGCTCATCTTTCAGTGCAATCAATTGTTGGCTGGTTTGCAAATATAAGAGCTGATGATACAACTCAGCAAGTTGTCACCTTTGACTGCAATGATATATCAGTCTTGCTTAAAGTGTTGGCTGGATTGCAAAGATAAGAGCTGATGATACAACTCAGCAAGTTTTCACCTTTGAATGCAATGATATATCAGTCTTGCTTATATATTCATGATGGTTAACAAATTATACATAACACATCCATGTGAACACAATCAAACAATGTCATGAATTTTATCATCAAGCACAGGCAAAGCTTTACTTGCCATCATCAAATGACTCAACACAAGGTAATTTAACTCCATCTAAAGTGTACTTGCACAAGCAGTTACTAACATCTTTGGTTGTTCTTGCAGGCGTAAAATACTCGTATCAAAGACTACAATTTTCTTGTCAAGCCTAATTTTGAAGCTCACATAGTACTACTGGTGTCAATTATCCTTCTTACATTTCTCAACCTAAATGTGATATAAGATGGCTATTCTCAAGTGTAAATACTGTTGTATCTGGATCATAAAACTACATACTTTAGTCTCAGATCAACATCTGAGACTAACTTTTGAGTTTTTGAATAAAAGTCAAAAGTTCTCTGAACAACATACCACAAAGCTTTTGCTATGTAGTTGCTGATGAATCGGAGTGAAAAAAGACACATGTGCTGCTTTCCTCTGAAGCAACATTTCAATCAAATGACAATGAGGACAGCAGGAAGATGGAAAAAGTTGGACCATGACCCTTATTATCCAGCATGAAAACGCGATGACGTCAGATAGGCGCATTACGGAGGGCTACGACTTTCCCGATTGGGGCAACAAATCGTCCCAATTGGGATAGCGGTAGCCTGAAGAGATGAGCCACTAACTACCTGCTCGACTCATGCATATTAGATCCCCTTCACTGAGCATACCAACTTATCCATTTTTCAAACCCTCCCGTTCATCATCTACCGCGTACCATGGCGTTACCTGGCGAAGAGATTCGACCAAAGGTCAAGCGGCAGAAGAAAGACACACCAGCACCTCCTGGTTCAGCTAGAGCTCGTTGAGCTAGTCTAGCAGCTCAAGAATCGGAAGCTGCGCAATCAAGTCTTCAAATCCTGAACAATCCAATTCCAAACAACATCCCCGGAAACAATAATGCCTTGATGGAAGACAATGATCCTCATGAAGATGACAAGCAAGTTGTATTATACACGGAACATACTGCAACGGGTCCTCAAAACTTAGACAATCATCCAACGAACCGTTCTGAATATTATCGAAGTGTCACATATCAGGAAAGGACCCTTCGTGAAGAAGCCATCTGGCAAGATGTGACTCCAACTCTTTTCAATGCGTACATGCCGTGTAGCCGAAAGACCTTTCAATGGGGTCATCCCACCTTGTGGAACCATGATTGGAACGTTGATTGCAAATGCCCCGAATGGAGGAAGCGGGATGTGACTGTGGACATCATCGATCTAATTGGTAAGTGATTCAAACTGATCTATTGTTATAAGGCCCTCAAAAATTACACCCTTACAGGTAGGGTGAAGCTCTCGATACGTGGATGCAAGTGTACCTCCGATTTAGTTCGGTTGCTTCAAATGGGGTATATCGGCACGGCTCCTCTCCAACCAAGAACTGCAGTTTTGCTTCGTTTGTTACAATTTCACCACACTCTGTGGAAATTTACGAGTGTAAGACTGGCACCATTTGTTGAAAGTCTTGAGGAGTACCTGGATGCGCAAAATTCCATCTTCCTGGTTCCAGGAAGCGAGCAGGTCGGTCATGTAGCAATTTCCACCTGTCAAACATACATGAATGCTCATTGCCATTCTTTGTAGCGTCGAGATTTGCGGAAGTGTTTCTCTCAGGCAGTGGACGTGTACCGTGAAATGATTAGATTAGAAGATGAAATGACGACTCGAGCTCTACAATTGACTCCTCTTGATGAGCTGGCAAGCAACTGTCCTAGTTGTTTTGGTCCAAAGGTACCAGGGAAGCGACCTACCGAGCCAGATGTAATCATATTTCTTGACGCCAACTTTCAACAACGGCGTCATCTTGCTGCGAGCGCAGCTTGGAGGGGTGATACCGGTGTATTACCCTCACTTTTCATCTCGCCATCAGATGTCAATAAATGGAAGGACCGAATGGAAGAGTTTAACCGTGGTGGGCGCCGAACTGCAGAACTCATCGTGAGTTCAAGTTATTTTGTTGTTGTTATGCCAAACTTAACCTGCTTTGATCTACCGAAAGGATCCTTGCAGTGCCCAGCACACCGCTGCTAACGATACCAGAGGGAAACAAACCTGGCGCGGATGTGATGAAACGGGGCTGATGGGAATGGCTTGTCGCCATGACCATCTTCTGAAGTTCATCAATATAGTACAAAGTGGGGAAAAGTACGTTGAGGATCTTGGTTTCTACGAACCCTTACTCAATTCAAACACACTGAGTCTCCCTTTTGACAAACAGAGGGTACTACCCTCTGGCCATGTTAGACTGGATACTTCGGAAAACGGTCAAGCGAGATGATAATGCGCGTCGATTTGGCATATTATATGATATTGGATGTAATATAGAGAAAAGTATCATAAAGGTACGCTTCTATATTGTGTATAAAAATCCAAACAGCCTTTGCACACTTTTCATACTTGCGTACACTCAGAGAAAGTTATTCAAAAATGAACGAGGCGCTGGTCAAATGACGTTTGGAACTAGTGTATTCCATTCACATGTCCACCAATGGGCATGTCAACTCAGATACAATCCACGACTCAACAAGGACTGGGGGCTTTCAGATGGTGAGGGTCTTGAGCGTGTATGGTCTAGTCTGGCTTTGTTGGTTGGTGCTTTGAGATACTCAACAAAAGTGCATAGACTATGTGCGCTGAATCTACGTGCACGGCACACAAACGCGGTTAAAAGGACACAAATGGGTATGTGACACTGAGATCACTCTATCTACACTGCACGGATTAATTGTGTGACCTTGGATGAAGTGAAGTGGATGAGATCTTGCTTGACCACAAGCTCGAAACTTTTAAGCAAAAGTGTTGCCAAGTTAGCTTCCTTGAGGCGCAATCCAACTTACACACAGGAGTACTTTAAGGTGCAGTGGGAACAGCAGAGAATTTGCCAGCTTCGGGCAATGGTAACCGAGAACTCCCAGCTGCTGACCACAAAGCTGAAGAAACTAGTGGGATTGGAAGAGCGTCATCAAGAGGCAGAGTTGAGTTAGTTACACTGCAAAAATAATGTATTTTTCCAAGGTGAAAAATTATTGACATTAATGCACAAAATGATTAATAATGCAGAATTAATGCAGAAAAATGCAGAATTAATGCAGAATTAATGCATTTTTAATCATTTTGTGAAATAAATGTAATCATTTTTCACCTCGGAAAAATACATTATATTCACAGTGTTAACTTATCATACTACACAATTTGATTTTCACTGATATTGTAATTTGAGTACGATATAGAAAAGAACTACATGATCTACAGG